GTACCAGGATTGCTGTTTATCGTAACGCAGTATTACTGCTCACGTTGGTCGAGATCGAATGATTGTTACCAGAATATGGAGTCAGTGGGTTCAGGATGGTAATACGGAACGCCGTGATGGATCAAAACGTCTCCCTATCACCAGTAGCCGAGAAAACAAGCATGTTACCCATAAGGCCTTAATGCATCGTGTAGCCACGCCACAGGCCCTAAATCAAGAATATTGATCGTTTGCAAGACAACAAGTGTCTCCACGAACAGTTCGACGACGTTTGCAACAGCATGGACCCTCCGCTCGGAGAACATACCTGCGGATACCCCTAAAGCTTGATAGCAGACAGGAATGTCTTCAATGGTGCGACTGACGATGGACCAGGGTGCACGAATGGCAAGACGTCCTTTTTTCAAATGCATCTAGATTCTCTTAACATAATCAAGAGGGGCACATGTGTTTAGCACATTGTGGTGAACTCACATTGGCAGCATGCATTCGCCATCGTCATACTAGCCCATCATCTGACAGGATGGTATGAAGTGCTATTGGATACACGTCTCGGTCACCTCGTGTAAGCATTAGTGGCACTTTGAACAGTGCACGTTATATTTCTGGTGTGTTACGACCCGTGACTCTACCCTTTATTCGAGCCCTGCAAAACTCCACGTTCCAGAAGGATAATGCACGGCTCCATGTTGTCGGTATTGTACGGACCGTCTTTGGTACGGAAAATGTTCGATTGTTGCCTTAGCCTGCACATTCACTAGATATCTCGCCAATAGAAAAACGTCTGGTCAATGGCTGCCGAACAACTGGCTCGTCCCCATACACCAGTCATTACGGTTGATGAACTGTAGCATCATGTTCAAGCTACATGGGTATCTGTACATGTACATGCGATCCAATCTCTGTCTGACTCAATGCCCAGGCGTATAAGTGCTGTTATTACTGCCAAAGGTTGTTGTTCTGGGTACTGATTTCTCAAGATTCATGCCCCCAAATTTCTTGAAAATTTAATCATTTGTTATTTTTACTGTAACATATTTGTCCAAAAAATATCATTTTGTTATCTGCATTCCTTTCCTCTGTAGCATTTTTTTTATTTTGTCCAGTAGTTTACATATATATATATATATATATATATATATATATATATATATATATATAAAAAGAGTGAAATATTCTTCATATTATTGATTGAATTAGAATTTTACTTAAGGTATCCGACTACGTTCGGAACCGTGATTTTAAAAAATTGCATAAATGAATAATATTCATAATATTTAGTGTCACCTAGATTAGAATACATGTATAAAATTGTTTTAAGGACATTTTGACAAAAAACAATTATTTAAATAAAATATTTCGCAAAAAATTAACTTAGAATACCTTTTTTCAAATTTTTCTCCTTTTGTGAAAAATGATTCTATTATAATAAAATTTTGCCTGTATATAGCTCAGATCTCTGTGCGGAGGCTCAACTATGGTTTTTGAAAAATTCACATTATTTTCAGAGTTATAATCCATTGAAATACTTATCGGCGTTTTTTTTTTCTTTAAATTTCTCCCCTCTGTTGTCGTAAAACATGGATAAACCCACTTCTAAGTTATATATTTCAAAAATTCTAGTTGGGTCTCTGTACAGAGATCTGAGTTATATGCAGGCAGAATATTATTATAATAGAAGCATTTTTCAGAAAAGAAGAATATTTTGAAAATGGGTCATTCTATGTTAATTTTTTGTCAATATATTGTACTTAAATAATTTTTTATTGTAATGCTATTCTTAAAACCATTTTATATACATTTTCCAATCTGAGTTACACTAAATATCATAAATATTATCCATTTACACGGTTTTGCAAAATCNTATGTTAATTTTTTGTCAAAATATTGAACTTAAATAATTTTTTATTGTAATATTTTTCTTAAAACAATTTTACATACTTTTTCTAACCTAAGTGACACTAAATATCCCGAATATTATCCATTTACACGGTTTTGCAAAATCACGGTTCCGAATGTAGTCGGATATAACTTAATAATATATATATATATATATAACTATTTTTATCTTATTATTCTAGTTAATGAAAATTGTATTCATTTCTATTTTGTATTATATGTTCTATCAAAAGAATTAATTACAAGCTTTTTATCGCAAAAATCTGTAACCTTACCAGACATCCACTGTAACATTCAAATTATTGTGAGGGTATTGAGCCAGACAGATTCCTTATCATGAATTAAATTCTGGGCCTACTTTCATCCACTTAAGACCTCATTATTCTTCACGATAGCCTTTGATGAAACTGAATTCAGATTTTAAAGCCTTTTGGCTATAATATGATAAATTTCAACTATAAGATTACCAAAATCCTTTAAGAGTCTTTGAAGCTTACAATTTCCTGAATTTAATTTCAGGAAATCAAATTTCAAAATGTCCTTAGAAAATTATTAACGTCTGAAAATTGTTGAAACTTATTTATGTCTAAGTAATAATTTATGAAAATAATCATTTAGATAAAATTGCTTAGTATTCTATTTCTGAAATATTGAATTTCGTTGCAGAATGTCGGTTATTCTATGTTAAAAAATTTAGGTAATCATTTAAATTTTTTTGTTTTTAAAAGACTGTAATATGCAATAAACTATACGTTATTTTAAATGATATTCACACATCTCAAATGTATACAAATACTTTTTTTATTTCCAATGTGGTTGAAGATTGGTGTGTTTTACCATTGTAGACCTAGTACATTCACCGAGAGCTGGTATCTCTTTTTAGTGCGACACCATTTAGGCGAATATAAATCGCCGCGGGTAATTTTGAATCCCAGTTTCCTCCCCAGAAGGAGGCTCCTGTGGCAATACGAAAACGTACATAAGATTTTAATTTTATTGAAAGCACCAAGTCAAACAGGCACTCAAGGTATATTTTACATGCCGCTAATTATGCAACATGGCCGCTGTCAATTTTCTACATCATGAATATCCACTGACTTGGCCAGGGGGTCGAACCCATAACCTTAGGCGTATAAGGCCAGCCACAAACCAACTACTCCACCCAAACGGCGTACATAAATACTTTAAATAATTACTTTGTCTCATGGTTAAATTTAAATTTGAAACTCTCGTACATTACATGTTGCAACAACTTAAATATCAAATAAATTTGGGTGTGTAGGGGGGCTTTACAGTCGTTTATAAGTTTCTTATTAAGATGTATGCAATTTCAAAAAAATTGTGAAATCATTATTAAAGCATACATATTTAATAAATACATTTACTTTGTATTTTAGAGTTTCATTCTTACAAATAGCATGAGGAACATAATTTAATTAATTAAATAATGTATTTATTAAATTTACAGTGATTCGTGTACGTATTGATTTTCTTCTAAGTTTATATGGTTCATTAATAATTTTTAAAAACTAAAAATATTCTTTAATGATGGATTTTGATTTTCATTTCTTTTGTAAGCTATCTTACGGTACAGTAAAAAATAAAGATATTAATCTGAATTTGAAATTATAATATTTATTAAAAAGTACTTAAATATATCCATAAAAAATAAATAAAAAACACTTAATACAAATAAATATTTATATTTTTCTCCTTCATTCCACGTTTCTGTCAAAAAAAAAAAATTATATCATTTAATGTTCCAAACGTGTTATATTTAGTAATAAAATGTTTGAATAACTTTCTTATAAAAAAAATTGATGCTAAAGTTTGTTTATTTCAGTTTAAGAGAAGCTGAATGTAATTATGTTACTGTAAAACACAAAGAATGTATGAAATATGGAATTAAGAGGTTGGATTAATTTAATTTCCTTATTTCATACATTTTTAGTAAATGAAAATGTATATTATTTTTAACAAAAAATTCGGTAACAGGTTCTGCCAAATTAAAAAAAAAAATAATATATAATTTATTAAAGAAGTCGGCTTTTTTAGGTACGATAAAGAATATATTTATGGTAAATAAAATATTTAAAAATTCGGAAAAATAATAAACATTCATAAAAAAATAAAATGAAGTACTTTTAATAATATGAACTACCATAAAACTGCATTATATAAGAGTATAAAATATCAGCAAGTTTATTATTAAATGCAATATAATTTTCGTAAAAAAATTTTCATTTTATTATTTTAAAATAAAATAATATTTGCTTACAACTCGGTGTATTAAGAAATAAAAGAATAATATAAATTTCTTTCTATATACCTTTACAGAATTAATAAAAAAATAACATTTATTTTATGTTATATGTAAAATGATCATTTGATATTTATAACATATCGGTACGGGAGGCTTAGAGGTAAAGTAACCGTCTCGAAAACTCAAGGTTAGAGGGCTTTGATCCCTTCTGGAGTGGATAGATTTTCTGGATGAGAAAATAGTAAGAACACATGCCACATGATTATGTGGCATGTAAAAGATCCTTTGATCATCAATTTGGTTCTGGTGGTCTGAGTAAAATTTAATCACGGCAACATTTAGCATCTGAAGAGAGCTTGGACTAAATAAATTAAGGAGTGAAAAATTTGGAAGCGGGGGCCACCAGCGGATAGTGACACTAATAAAATGGCTTCCGCACTTCGGGACTTGCAGTGTGTTCAAAGGCTTAGCTGGCAAAAACGCAGGACATTTAATAGAAAGAAAGTATTGATATTTACTGCGTTTAATCAATTAATAAATAGCAAGTAATATAAAATAAATTAAGTCAATTCCTATTTAGATCAACAAAGTACAACTTTATTTTAGTTACATTTTTTATTAAATAATTACAATTAATATAAATATGTATATACATATGACACAGAATCACACTATTAGGTGACAAAATAGATAACTATTTTCCTTGTAATTTTCCATTTTTCTTTCTATATCGGGTGTTGGACTATTTTTTTTTTTGGTACTATTTATTCATTCATGAAATTGAATTATTCTAATAAAGTAGTATAGTAAAAAGAAATCATACGCTCAGAAGTTAGGCCATCACAGGTGTCATTCACACCCACGACTTTTGGATGAGAAATCCAACGTGCTGTCCATTGCGCTACAGTGAAGCAACGAACGATTTTCCTTTCTATATATGCTGTTGGACTATGTTTTTGTTTGTTACTATTTAATCATTTTTCCTAATTTACTTAATGAATTAATATTTGAATAAACTGCATTAACATCAAGAGTCATCTGCTACAAGTTTAAAAAAAATGTATTTGAACTTGAATAGATGAATAGAAAGTATTGTATTAACGAATAAAAATTTGAACAAGATATATATAGTGAATTCTAATAGTAGGAATTGAGAGAAAAATATATAAATCATATCACTCATTTTTACATGTAATGCGAATGAATTTATTTTGCAATGCGTATAAAATTATTCATAGCACTATTCGAATACACCTCATTACATGTTATGTATTGTTCCAAAAACCATAAATAAGTTAATCTGATACACTTTTTGAAGGATAATCAATACCTACACGTTATGCAATTTATTCTACAGTAATAAGCACATATTTATTACTTGAGACTTAAATGAAAAAAAAAAAAAAAATAGCATCCCAATTTCCAGCGTAACGCAACTCATCTGATGGAATGGAGCAAGTTTGTAAATAAAGAATGGAAATTTCCCTCGTTATCCATTAAAAATCGCTTATATCAAATCTTCAAAGGCTGTCGTCTCCTCTTCGCATTACATTCGAATTAAATTCAAGAAAAATTCAGTCTCCTTCCCCAATGAATAATGGAAAAGCAAAACTCCAAGAGTGAACTCAACCTTTTGAAGATAAATTGGTTGCATCCTCTGGTTCTAATTAACGTTGTGCCTTCGGTCTTTTCTGTTTGCTGCCCTTCAAGGAGAGTAGCTCAACTGTAGTTTAAATTTCGTATCGTTTATGCGTTACAATTCATTGTGCAAAATTAAAACGGAAAGGGTAATTGCTATTTGTTTTTGTTTTTTTAAATTTTATTTTTGTAGAAAAGAGCAGTTATATATTTTTACGGTATTCGACTACGTTTGCAGCCTTGACTTTGCAAAACGTAATATAACGAATATTATTTTAATATTTAAAGCCTTTAGATTATAATACATGTATCAAATTGCTTTCAGAATACTACAATAAACAAGTAATATAATTTTTTTAAAGTCAATTTCTATTAAGGTCAACGGAGAAAAATTTTCTTTTAGCTATTTTTTAGTATAAATAGTTACAATTAATATAAATATATATATACATAGGACCGAATCACACTATTAAGTGGCAAAATAGAAAGCGTTTTTCCTTGCAATTTTCCGTTTTCCTTTCTATATAGGGTGTTGGACTATTGTTTTTGTTTGTCACTATTAATTCATTACTTAAATTTAATTGTTCCAATAAAATAGTATAGTAAAAAGAATGTACATTCTCAGAAATTAGGCCGTCCCAGGTGGGATTAGAGCTTACGACCTTCGGATTATAATGCCAACGCGCTATCCATTGCGCTTCAGGGGCACAACGAGCGATTTTCTTTTTTATATAGGATGTTACACTATTATTTTTGTTTGTTACAATTTATTCATTAATTAAAGTTATTTAAGAAATTAGTATTTGAAAAAACTGTATTAATTCATTTTAAGTTTGTGTCATTCATTACTAGTTTAAAATATGTATTTGAACTTGATTGGATGGAAATAAAAAGTATTTTATCAATGACTGAAAATTTAAACAAGATATATATATATATAGAGAGAGAGAGAGAGAGAAAAAGAGAGAAAAAGAGAGATAGAGAGAGTGAAGAAATATTAAAAATTAAAAAATTTAAAAATCACTTTTTTTAAAAAAAAAAAAAAAAAAAATAACATAGAAATACCTATTTTCAAAATATCCTCCTCTGATGAAAAATGCTTCTATAATAATAATATATAGTCTATACATAGCTAAGATTTTTCCAGAAGGCCTGAAATAGGATTTTTGAAAAATTAACATTATTGAAATAGTAATTGAAATAGTAATCGGTGCTTTTTTGCTAAAGCTTTTTCACTCTGAAGTGTTAAAATATGAATAAATCATTTTCTATAAATTATATATTTCAAAAATCTTAGTTCAGGCTCTGTATAGAGGTCTGAGCTATGCATAGGCAAAATATTATTATTAATGAAATATTTTTTATAAAAGACAAATATTTTGAAAATCTAATTTTGCATTTATTCTTTGCCAAAAGATCACATTTAAATAACTTTTTATAATCTTATTCTTAAAACAATTTTATACGTGTATTATAATGTAATAGACATTAAATGCTAAGAAAAATATTCATTTGTACGCTTTTGAAAATCATGGTTCCGAACGTAGTCGGATGCCTTATGGTGGTGGGGGGGGGGGGGTATTTTCTAGACCTATTATCACATACTTTCTTTACATAACTTTACATTAATTGCAAATGAAAAATAAATATAAATAAGTATGTTTCATTAATAAAATTCAATTTAAGAACTCTTCAAAACTATTAGACTTATCATTTTTAACCGCATGTTTCTCTTGTTGCGTAAAGCTCCGCTAAGAACTGGTTTTTCAAAACATCCTCTCTAAAGTGAGTTTCTTTAGCAATTTATGCAAAAATTTCCTCTGTTTGACCTATAGACTTGAAACTTGACAAACACGTTCTTTTATTGAGTAGATATCCACTAAGAAAGAGTTTTGTGGAAATTGACTTCCCTCTGTGAGGACACGTTATATCTACATTTCCATATAAAAATAAAAGTATATGTTTTTGAGTTATTTTAGTTCTGCATACTTGAAATTTAATTAACATGTTTCTTTTACAGAGTGGAGATACGTTACAAAAAGGTTTTGTATGTATATATATATATATAGGCCAATTCTCTACAAACAAGAGATAACATCCCAACAATAACATTCGACAAACACATAGACAGCAGGAAAATCACACAATGAAGGACAAAAGAGTAATCGAGATTATAAATATAAAATGGATGCTGCAGTGTTATGAACATTACTGACTTAGGACAGCTATTATATAAAAAATAATTTATATAAAAGTGGGGTTGAACATGTTTTTTGGCCAGCCAACCTTACCCCTTTTTTGTAAATAACACTGAGCAAAAACCAATAGGAAATAATGGACAGGAATATCTAAATCCATTACAAGATAGAGGTAACTTACCTAAAAATTGCACTTACAAATGCAAAGCCCGCGCTAAATCTGAGTGCAAATATTAATTTGTTGCCAGATTCTATACCCTAATGCAGATTTAAATCAAAAGAATGGCTGAAATGTAGCACTTAACAAAAGAATAAAAAGAATGGAAATAAAATTAATAAGACTTGCATATTATAGCATAACTATAATAACACCAGAGTAAATATGAATAAAATAATAGTAAGTAATTTCTAATCTAATATTAGATTATGGAGATAACTATAACAAAAAATTTAAGTTTATACTAATAAACTATTATCAATCTCAGAATTTTAATCCTAACTATTTTGAATAGCTTTATTTATATAACTATTAATAAAATTAATTGGGTATTTCTGATTTAAGCAATATTTAGTAAAATGTTTATAGTTATTTATAATGTCTGATTTTTTTGACACAAGAAATTTATTACGTTGTATATAATTAATAACAATATTTCTGAATATAGAAACATGTACATTACTCTCCCAATGAGGAACTTTTATAATATTGAAATTAAATTCTTCTCTTTTATCATAAATATTAGAAACTATTACATTTTCATAAAATTTGACATGTATGTCAAGAAAATTTGCTTCATTGTTGTTATTATTTGTCTGTATTAAATTAAGATATTGTGGATAAAATTAATGTTAGGTATAAAATTGGCTTGTTTGCCAAAAGTGATTATATCATCTATATAACGATAAATATAATATTTAGAATTATTAATGTAACTACTTTCAAAATAATGTAAGTATAAATTGGCAAGACAGTTGCTCGCAGGGCCACCTTGTGGCAATCCTTTAATCTGCTGATAATAGTTACCTTTATGATATATATAGTTTTCCTTAAGTACAAACCTAAGTAGTGAACCAAATCTATCATAATTAACATTATTAAATAAGTTGTCTTTATGTAAATTTACAAGTATATTAATCAAATCATCAATATTAATAGAGTTAAAGAGATCTTCAAAATCTAAACTATAGACTAAATAAATATTTTTTTATCTTTCATTTTTTCAACAAGTGATTTACTATTTTTAAGAATGGCTGTGGATTTAAGATTATTTCTTGTTTCATGCAATATTTCATGGAGAATTTTGCCTGTTTTGCTGATATATGTATTAAAACCATTTGTAACTGTCCTAAATTTAACTGGGTCTTTATGAAATTTGGGAGTAAGAAATATATGTTGAAATTTAAAATTATATTATTAATTTGAATTTTTAACTTTTTATGAAAAGCCAAGATACGTTTATTTATTTCTCTATCAGAAACAGAAGACTTAATAAAAGCTGTTTTATTATCGAAATAATTGTTGATCAATAAATTATAATAGTATTTACATATGAAGGCAAAATTCCCTGGCACTTTATCAACATAAACTATAATAAATTTATTTTGTAAATTTTTAATCTGACTTTTAATATTATTAAAAAAGATTTTATTATATGTACCATAGTTATATTTATTAAGCTGCTTTGTAATTTTACCTTTGAATTATGTGACTGCCTCTATAGGCATACTATATTTAATAGCTATTTTGTATATAAAATGCTCAATATCATTATATAACTGATTTTTGATAATTTTATTATTATTCGAAATCATTAATCTAACCAGTACCTTTATTCATAATGTTCACCCTTAAACAAACTATATAGTACAAACTTTAAGGGTGGATACAATACATTGTAACAATCATTTTTTGTATAGGAATGTATGCGCGCAAGTGGCGTGGTGAGGCGTAAACAGCAGAAATAAAAGAAAAGAGAAATGGAGTTATTACTTGGTAGTGTTGCCGGTAGGAGGCAGTAGATGTCTAGCCACCTTTCAGCATGATGCATCTCAGTAAGGAAAAGCGCCTTGCGCAA